CTCATCTATTGCTTTGACTTTCGTCCTTTTAGTCTTCAATATCTCGATCAAGATCGAGCAAGCTAGTTACGTCTCGAGCGCGTACTTTACGTGCCGCAAAAACTTTCTTGCTGCGAGCGACACTTAAAGCGGAGATATAAAGAGACAAAAAAAAAACGACGGAAACAAGGCTTTTAATATCAAATGGAGAAGCTAAAGAAAAGGAACAAAGAAAACGAGAACCTTACTATACAAACGTGCACGTTTTTCTTCGGCTTCTTGAGTGGCTGATCATATGTATGGTTTTACTACTTACAAGTTATGCGAACGTTACGCGAATGTATTATTACACGATTGAACGTTACATTTAAACAATTTAATATTATTATTTGAGTAAGTACTTACTTATATAAGAGAAATAAATTTAAATAGTTAAGTAATTTTGTGTTTTATAGAATTCGGTAAATCAATTCTAGTATGATTATTTCTTTTCTACATTAGATATCTCCTAGTTGCTTTCAGTAGAAAAAATTAATTTATTACTTAAGCAATAATTTTGATATTACATAAAATATATTTATGAAAGTATTTATGCACTTTTTATAACGTCCGATAACGTTAGCGAAGTAATTATTAAATCTTTATAAGGCACGAAGTTTAAGTCCGTAATTGTGCAAACATAACTTAGCGCAAATAACTCATATTAGAGGATACTTAAGATCTATCAGGTGTGCTAAATGCATAAAATATGAACATAATTTTCGCGCTCACTGTAATATCGCTAAATGCGAAACTCGTGTTCTAGAAACTCAAGCTCGCTCTTTTTTTCAAAAGTTTATTATCGTTACAATGACCGAAATAATTTAACTTTCATTACTCTTGATGTCTAATTATATCATTCTATTTGTCGTATCCGATTACGTTGTTTTCTTATTGGGATTATTATAGCTATATTTTTTCTCCTAGTTACGTCTGATCAAATTATACTTTTTCTACTGAACTGTTACTGGAAGAAGATATTTCTTGTGCAGAAAAAATTATAAATGCTGTAATTGATTTATCAAGTTTTTAATAAGAAAACAATTATTAAGAAATAAATAAAAATAAATTTCTCGTAAACTATATACTTCAATTTGTTAGAATATTTTACTTAATGTTTTCTTCTTTCTTATTATATAATAAGAAAGCTCTCTGCTTTCATGTTCGGTTCTTGTTATTACAGTATTAATGACTAGTAAATTGTAACAAGTTGCTGACTACAACCAGCTGTTACATCGAGCTATGGTTTCGGAATTAATTTCGTGCTGTTCAGTATCGATCGGTGTACAAACTATTAATGGTATTTTTCTTAAAGTGACGATTATATTTAGTAATTTTTTTTCTGCTCAAAACGCGAAACATTGCAATATTATATTTCAAATATATTGCAATATTATTTTTCACTCTTTCATTCTCCGCAAAATATTAAAAAACCTTTGAATATAGAGTATAAATTTTTGTAAAATATGTGTTGTACTTTTTTTAGAGATATGTAACAAAGAGATATTCTATTCTTTACATTGTTACGTTCGTTATCGTATTTTGAATTCTTTAAATTCTTGTATTTATTAGATCCTGCAAAGCTCTTAAATTTTCGAAATCCCCAGATTTTGAACTTTTTATATACTCATATATATATATATATATATATATATATATATATATATATACACACTCAGATCCCTGTATTCGCAAAGTACTTAAAGTCTGTTCCTAAAGTCTTCAAACCCCAAGAGGCTAAGCTTCTCTAGATCTTCAGATTCCCACATATTGAATGGTCAGATAATAGAGATCGCATTTTATTACTTCTACTTCGACTTTCGCGTAAAGTATAACTCGTAAGCTCGGATATTAGCGGATTATTTCGACGTTAATCGTTCTCGCGCAACACTATTTCACGACGATAATTCGTACTACTACATCGTCCTTTTCGCGATTTCCTGTTGGCGTTGCGCATGCGAAACCCTACATCATTTACAATTCGCATTTAATGTAGCTCGAGAGCGTAGCGGGCAATGTGCGTGCGCGCCAAACTCAATATAATATCGTTACATGCTGACGTCGACCCATCCACGCGACGCAGCGTGTAATTTAATGTCGGCGCCGCCGAAGCAACGAAGCCGCAAGAACGCTTCTGAATGCATCCGCAAAAATATCCGCGCGAGCGAATTCATGCAACATTTTGCGTTGTCGCGCGCATGCGAGCGAAGAGAGAGAAACCCGCAGCATAAGGATTTTTTTTTATTTTTGCAAAATTCGCAATGGATTCGTTCCATGGTTTACGATGGTAGGCAACGGGTGGTTTTTTCGAGTTTTTACGAATTGCACGGTTGCGCTGATACGCCTGGACAGAGAAATAACCGCGGCAACTTTGGTGTAAATAAAAAGCAGAAAATAGAAAGCACGGAGTTGAATTGCGAAGTCGATGAAACATGTGGTCGACGTAACAATGTATCGTACATTATTGTGATGTTATCGAGAGCATACATCAAACACACAAATACACACACAAGTACACATACAATGTACTATATATGTGCATATATAGTACATTATGTGAATTTTGAAAAATTAATATTATTACCATATATAAATTTTGTTACGAAATGGCTCTTGTCAAATTTTTAAATAAAAGTTGCTACGTGCTTAAAATTTGGCAATGCTTATTAATATTCATTAAAAAGTTGGCAATTAATTTGTAATAGCAGCACAGTTATTCAATTTAATGATGAAAAATGTACTGTGGTAGTTCGCTGAATCACAATTAATGTAAATGAAAAAAGTGAATAAACACACACATATTCTATAAATTGGATTGCTCTATAACTATATTATATATCTAGTATATAAATATTCTTTATTTTCACAGCTTTCATCTTTGATACTATTACTTATAATAAAAAAAGTTTTTGTAATAAACATTTTAAATAAATGAACTAACGAATAACTCAAAGAAGAGATTATACGATATATTTACTTTACGATTCATTGTAAGTGAATAAAAAAACTAATCGATTATATTATATATACCTAATATTACACAATAATATTATATATTTTGTCAACTTTGTTGATATTAAACATAATTAAAGTTTGTTGCAGCGTATAAAATTATCATTAAATGCTTTATTTGATCCTTAGATTACCTTGAGTACGTTTTATCAAGTATAGTAAAGCAGAAATCGTTATATCTAACTTTATAATGCCCTTCAATTAATATGTAAATTGGTGAAACTTGCGTAATACCCTTATGGTGGAGTTTCAACATTGAGAAATATAGATAAATCTCAGAATATTATGCAATCTCTCAAATGAAAAAGAGAGGATTGACTTTTTTGCGCGAATTTTTCTTTTTTCTCTACACACAATTCGCGTAATGCAATTATATAAAATAATGTTTTACAATATTTCATAACGCTTTCATGTATACATTTTTTTAATAGGTTTTTGTATAATTATATGAAGCAGTGAAAACTGTAGAAAATGAAGTCAGGTAAGAACAAAATAATTCCTTTCATTTGAATAAAATAAGGAATGCACAGAAAATACGAAGAGAAGAGGTGGTTTTTATATGCTATTGAAAATTTTTATCTCAACTCTATAGGAGTTTGTCGTTATTACACTACTAACTGAAGTAGATATCCGAATGGGAAACCGAATCAGGAAAATTTTGCGATATTTTTCAATCGCATCAATTTTATCACCCATTCGGATAAATTATTTAAACGAGTTTCGTCAACATTTTATAATAGTGATAAAATTTAATATATTAATAATAATGAAATTCTTTAAAATGATAATATCTTCTCATTTCAACTTTTAATAATATACTTGGTATTGCAAAATATTTTTTAAAATATATATTGAAAAATATTTTTCTACAAATCTCAAAATTACTAAAATAAAGAAATTTTATGGATACGTCACAATTTTGACAGTTTTGTTTTACGAGCGTTTTAACTTTATAAAATAGATCTTAATTCATATTACTAGTGACTAAATTGCTCAAAGATAAAATATCTGCGTCTTTACTTTATTTTATTATTTTATTTATAGTAGTTACTTTATTTCATTATTGTTAATTATTGCTAGTTTGTTTTCGTCGTAATTCAAGTTACTGTGCCTGTGTAATAATATATGCTTTTGGTTGAAACGAGATAGTCAAGAAAACAAGAACGAAAAATTTTTCTTTCAGAAAAAACTAAAAGATCAAGACGAGAACCGAGAGACTACTTCCACGAGTCATTGAAAGCCGGTATGTACTCTCTTCTTCAAGTTTTGCACTCGTCTCGTCGTTACCACGCAATTACAGCTGCAACAGCCGCGACGAGTGTTGTTTCGGTGTCGATATCAAAAGAAACGGTTATATATATATATATATATAGTTGTGTGCGCGTCTTTCCGCGTTTATTTCTTTTTAAATCGCTGTCCGATAAAAAGTCTGAGAGAAAACGACATTCTCTGCAACTTGCACAAGCGAGAAAATTGTAAACTATAGCTAGCTTTTCTCCGTGCCCTGATTCATAGCAAACTATCTCTCCTTCATTGTTAGAGATTTTGAAAAGTACCATAGTACTCGAATCTTTCGAAAAAAGATAAAACACATAATTATAAATAATTATGTTTTATCGAATATTATTAAGATAATATAATATATATAGATATATAATGTTCACGCATAAAAGATAAATGTGTATGGTGTTTGAAAGTCAATCATATTTTTGCTCACATTTGTATTATATAATAAAATAATGTTTTGTTTTCTATACATTTGTATTATATAATAAAATAATGTTTTGTTTTCTATACATTTTAGCATCAATACAACATTAATACTAACTTGCCTTCAACATCAAATCACGATCGATAACATTTTTAGGAACTTATTTCTAACGAGTATATATAGAGTATACATATGTAGCTATTATCTGTGTATAACTACGATATTACAATTATTTTTAATATAACATTTTAACGCTTACCGGTACGATGCGCAGCGGCAGAGTTGTAGTACACACAAAATTGATCTGTAAAACATAAATGTACCCAAATTATATAAAACTGTGCTTAAACTAATATTTTAAAAAGTAATTATTGCACGTAATTAAATGTTTCGTTCATTTAAACAAATATTTAAATGAATTTAATAACAGATATTTTAATCAAGCAAATTACATTATATAATAATTTAAAAAAATATAAAAATTATTTTCAAATATAAAAAAGATAAATAAAATTACATTTATATGATATAAAATATAATATGAATAAGAATTTATATCATTTTCTCTTAAATAAATATTCTAAATAACTAAAAGTTTAAATAATTTAAATATTATATATATTTTTTTATTTTATAATTATTAATTATTATAAATTAAATATTACAAATATTTTCAAACAAAATTCCGAGTATTTGTAATTATGTATTTTATATAAATATATACATGCACATACCTATATTAAACGATAATGTAAATAAATATATTATTATCTTAAAAATAAATGAGCAATTATAAGCATTTTGCACATAACATATCATAATCTAAGGGAGTTATAAATAAGAATTAACACACACAAACATATATATATATATACATATATAAAATAATTTAAAGTATATACAAAATAATTTAAATGTAATACATTTATAAAGTATACATTTCTCATGGTTACTCTACCGTTGTCCGATGCTTATCCCAAGCCTTGTTATTCTTTCTTGTATATTTATTGTTGCAAATCATCTTCATATAGCACTCACGAAACATACACAATATATTCACTCGCAAAATTAAAACCCAACTCGTGTTAATTAATTCTCCCGTGACAATTTATAAGAATATAAGGTTATTCATTAAAGTATAGATGTTTTATTGTGATTAACATTTCAAATAGAAATCAAAACAACAGAATAAAAAATTATATTTTATAATCTATACGAGCAATAATTATTTTTTTAATATTTAAATTCAAATATCTCGCGTTAGCTTGAATTTTGCGCTAATTATAAAATGTAGTTTTAATTATTTTTGAATTTAGAACTTACATGTATATATGTAATACAAATTTCAAGATCAAATATAATTCAAGTGATAAAAAATTATGATGCAAGTGTTTTCTATTAATAAAATTATTCAGATATAAAATATTTCGTATAAGTTATTTTGCAACGCATTAAATATATTTTGTGGCATCGATGAGAATTAATTAATTATCGTACTCGCGTCGTATTTCGCTTTTGTTTCTCATAATGTATATAATGTTATTATTGTTTACATACCAATGCCTGAATTGTCGTCGGTGTCATTCACGCGGCGAGACTCGAGTGAAGGCAGCAGCATATGAGCCACTCCGTACGTCTCTTCGAGAAACACGATCATTTTCTACGAGTATTACATCTAACTATTATCACATTAATCCTGCGTGGTTAATTTAATTCGCGGCCCATCAAAATCTATTGTGCAAATATCAAGCAAAACGATATTTTGTAGACGTACATGTTTAGCGCGCGAACATCGGCGGAATAATAATCTTCTCGCGCTACTCGCACGTCGGCTCAGTCCTATTGTTTTCTCCTTCTTAATGTCCGCGTAGTGGAGAGGCTACTTCACTCGTTTCCCTTCTCGCAGCGCCACTTCGCGTCGCGCCGCATACTAATTTTGACAAGTAGTCGAGGCGATTTACGGCCCCGGCGAGATAAAGTTACGTTTGGTCAACACCCAGATAGCACAAGCTATTGAAAAAGAATTTATTTGTATGTCACCAATTTTGAGTCCCTTTTCAAATACATATAGAATTCATTTTGTAAATGAATTCTATATGTATTTGAAAAGGGACTTTGGTGACATACAAATAAATTCTTTTTCAATAGCTACCAAACGTAACTCGAAATATAGAATACATATAGAATACATATAGAATTCATTTTGTAAAATTCTATATGTATTTGAAAAGACTCGAAATTGGTGACATACAAATGAATTTTTCTTTATTTGTATGTCACCAATAGTCCCTTTTCAAATACATATAGAATTTATTTTACAAAATAAATTCTATATGTATTTAAAAGGGACTCGAAATTGGTGACATACAAATGAATTCTTTTTCAAATATTTATCATATTTTACAAAATAAATTCTATATGTATTTTGTAAAATAAATTCTATATGTATTTGAAAAAGGACTCGAAATTGGTGACATACAAATGAATTCTTTTCAAATAGCTGTGCTATCTGGGCAAGGATCATTAAAGACAGAAACGGCCAGAATAATTAAGAAGAAGAGAACAAAAGTTGCACCGATATTTAATTCTTACAAGTGTATTGAAGTTATCAGCTAGAGACAGTATCGCAACGAGTATCGCGTGATGTTGCTGCGTTTAGTTTTCAAGTGCCGAGAAGCTCGTAGCGTGTAAAGTGCCGCGCGATTATCGTATCCTAATTAGTGCGCGCCCGATCGTAATTAATAGTACTTTCGCGACTGAGTGTCGTGGTTGTTTCCGTGAATACTACAAAGTTGCAGCACGGGATGAACAAGAAAGCAAGGAGTCGAGAGACGCATCGGAGCAATCTTGAGGTTTAGTTTAACCTTTAAAAAAAATAATATATATATGATATAATACGGCAGCGTTATTTATCGTATTGTTTATCTCTTTTTACATAGTTTCGTCTCTTTCTATTAATTGCATCGTACTATATTTATTTTATATGTATATTAGAAGATGTAAGAGAGGAGAGAAAATGAAGTAAACTGCAGGTTGCGTTCGAAAATATGTCAAAATGCAAAATTTGACTGACCAATCGGAGAATCTTCTTGTGATCGATCAATTGAATGCTTCCCTCTTATTCATTCATACATTCAGATGAATATATTTTCGAACACAATATATAGTATGTTAATGCCCTCTGGTGCACTTACTGCACTTTCGCATTGTTCGTGATTAACGTTTATTGCCGGTTCGGTCCGTGAAAGTACGAGTGAGTGTTAATATTTACGTGTTAATTATCAAAAATTCGATCGCGTCGCGTGTGCCGACATCGTGATATAAATTCGATCGCGATCTCGTGCGTCAGATTGATTTCGGTACTCCAACTCGAGCCACGAAAATTCGTGCATGCAAATCAACATCGTGTAATTTATAACTTCGCTGATGCATATTGCATTGGTGAGCACTAAATTATTTTTGTTCTTTTGGCTTATTAAATTTGTATCATTTTGACCCAAACGAGCTTTTCACTGTATTTTGGTAAATTATTTTTCTTTGTAAAATAATTTTATATAAAGAGAATTAAACAATATGTATTTATTATATATTTATCAATATACATATATATTTTTGCTACGTAATTCAGAAAACGTCTAAAAAGAAATTTTTTATTGTATAAATTAGGGGTTGATTTATATATACGATACAAATATATTTAAACATTATAATAAATAAGGTCCACAATAATTATTACTTTAGAAAATAATTATTACGCACAATTTTTGATTTGTTCATTTAAATCGACATGGAAAATTGATTGGAATTCTTTTAAATCTTGATTGTTATAAACTACTCATTAAACTATTAGTTAATTTTGTAATTAATAAAAAAAAATATTTCAATGTGCATTTGATTTTATGTAAGCAAAAATAAATATAATTACGTGTTATATGTTGTTCGGATATAAACACATTAAAAATTTAATCAAATTAAATATTACAGAGTCTTAATTTATCTTAGTAAATTAAATATATTATATAGTGCTTTTTTTTACAAATATTTGATATTTTTTAAATCTAGACTAGATTACTCGGGATCCTAAAAGAAACATTATAATATAAATAAATTGATAATTAAATGCATGAGATAAAATTATTAACTACTTAAATACAAATTAGATATGTATGTACATATATAAATTTTTACAAAAATATGCACACATATACTCTCTCTCTCTCTCTCTCTGTTATTTTAACTTTACAGAGAAAATTTTCTCTTAGAATTTACCCTGAAAATCATGGTAATCGTGGAAAATATGGTATTGAAAAAATTTTATAAGAGTTTCTCTGATTAATATTTACTATACATTTTAATAAAATTAAACATATTTTCTATCTTGTAATATATTATTATTATTAATATTTTTTTATTATAGTAAATATTAATAAAAAAAACTTTTATAAAAATCTTCCAATATCATATTGTCCAATCCCACGATTACCATAATTTTCAGGATAAATTCTAAGAGAAAATCTCTCTGTGTTTGTAACTATGTATATATTAATTTATTTCTCATAGCTGGAATAATCTTTTTTCAACGTAACCTATTTAATCTATTTAAACTTATACACCAGCATTGCATATTTAAATTCCTCGAGTGAATATAAGAGAATGATACGACTCCATTTACGTGCAATCGCTCATTTACCAACTGTCTAACAAATTCAGGCGAGCGCACAGCAAAAATGTTTGGCTCGAGGCGCAGCGGAATTTGATCGAGTTTGACGATGCAGTTCGACATGCGGTTCGGTATTTAGACATGCGTGTGCTGGCAGCCGAAATCACATTATTTGTACATGTACGTACAAGCGTTCGTGTACGCATAAATCGCGCGCTCGTTGACACGCCACGATGCGTGACGCACGCGGGCACGCGTGTTTTTACGAAGTTTCATTGTTGGTATTCTCCCCCTCTTCTTTTCCCGAACATCATCAGTTTTGCGGTATAACAGTTTGTGTCCAACAGATCCGTGTGGCAGATTTACGACTACGACGCGCTATGCGGATATGCGTTTTTTATGCCGAATTAATGATGGTATGAATTTTTACCGAAATGAAATATTAAAACGCCAACGAGGTACACAGCCGCAAAACCGTCACGTTGTTTCACTCGCCCCATAACATGACCCAGGCCGTAGTAACATGACCAACACATGCAATATGCGAGTTTGATTAACGATTTGAATAACTTAAATGAGCCGAATATTATAATTTGAATGTAATCATGTTTCTAATTTATATTGCAATATATAATTATCTATTA